AAATTACCCATTTTATATTCAATTTAGCATTAACTCATTTCCAGCCTTTTCTATCGCCTAGCGTTCTTTAAAGAATTTCCTTATCCATCTTAGGCCATGATCTGCAAACGTATCACGTGATATATTAATTTTTTCGGTAAAAGATTAAATTTGGTTTTTTCACATAATTTCTTTGTTTTGCTATATTATGCAATGTTCATCGAGATGCTTCACGTTATCACAGACACAAAAGCCAAGATTCACGCGAATGAAACAAAAATGTATAAACGCACCGAATGTTTTAAAATAGTATAAAGATGTTCCGCATTTATTTGGAATAATGAAATAAATCTTACACGTGTTTATTTTCCAAAATCCAAAGCAAACCTAGTGGGTTAAGTTTAATACATTTGACCGAGCCACTCGAAGTTCTCCGGGAATCTCGTAAGAACGTTGATATGTTATAATGTGAAAAGTGTGAAAATGAAACAACATTAAACAATACCAGACATTTTGTATCTCAAATGATTGCGGCGACTCTTTTTTGAAACGAGTCGACGATTTAAGCGTCTGAAATTTTTATAATCACGAATGTGGTATCACAAAATCACCATTCGTACTACCAGATTTCTCCTAGATGATGCACTGAAAGAAAAGTCGGTTATATACTATGTCATAAGCTTTTTATACTTTCGAGAGTGTATAATATTATACAATAATACAATTATAGAATGGCAGATATGCGGGTTGTGTATAAAAAAGGGATGTGGTCACCTTCCTATTCTATCTCCATTTCTGAAGTATTCAATTGATTCAAATAGGGACTCAACAACAAGCACATTTACCACAAGCACGTTTTCCCAATCTCCAGCTTACCTCCTAGCGAAACATAACCTAAATATTCCATCCTCAACCTCTCTTGAGTTATAGCTCATTTCACTTATACAGTATACAACCATACAAGAAGAATACTTTTCAACATGAACACTTCCTCTAGACGCGGCGCAGGCTCTCGTTCTACTATTACTACTTCTTCAACTTCTGCTTCAGCAAGTACATCTACATCTAGCAGCAAAGGTGTCTTATCCAAGACTAATGCTACTAGTAGTAGTGCAAAGAGGTGAAATATATTTTTACCTTTTTACCCCCCTATACAAATATTAAACATAACACGCTTGCGATCTTTTTTAAAAATTTTATAATCTTTTTTTTGATCTAGTTTTCAAAAAATTCTGACCCGCTATATTATATACACTTTTATTTTATTTTTACCTTATTATTAGGATCCAGAAAGAACTTGCTGAGATCAGTCTTGATCCTCCTTGCAATTGCAGGTTCAAACTAGCTTTTAAATTTGCATTAGATCGAAATTATTTAGATTTCTTCTAAATTTTTTTTTTTTTTTTTTTTTTGCGTTTTCATTACTTTAGCGCTGGTCCTAAAGGTGATAATTTGTATGAATGGGCGTCCACCATTATGGGTCCTGTTGGCTCACCTTATGCTGGAGGTATTTTCTTTTTGGACATTACTTTTCCACAAGACTACCCATTCAAACCTCCAAAGGTATATAATTCGTATAATTAGCTTCGCTGTTCTTTTCAATTAATTATGGCATGCAAATTTTATAATGTTAAATTAAGAATTCCGTTATACAATGTTGAATCTCTCTATTTACTTATATATGTTTTTTATGTTTATTAAATGTCAAGGTGGTGTATCGCACGCGTATTTATCATTGCAACATCAATTCCTCAGGACAAATTTGCCTCGACATTCTTAAAGACAATTGGTCTCCTGCCTTAACAATTTCTAAAGTCTTGTTGTCGATATGCTCGCTATTGACCGATGCAAACCCACGTAAGTTGTTTGCTATTATGCATATCATACATCACGATTCACACTTATCAATCGAGCTATGTATTTTTTAGATGATCCATTGGTTGGAAGCATCGCACATCAATATTTGCATGATCGTGAGGAACATGATAAAATCGCTAGAGAATGGACTAAACGGTAATTAAATTTTCTAATAATTTCGTCTCTTTCAATACGTTTGATATATTTTGTTCATGTTAACATCTTGTTTTATTCTTATTTATAGTTATGCATCTTGATTGGTGTAGATTTCGCGTCAGGTTGGTTTTTTTTATATTAAAACTAGACTTAATTGGGATAAATAAATGTATTGTTAGATG